TTAATGAGGGTACTGTAAAGGATACCTCAAAGAAAACGTATAGCAAAGCTGCAAGCACAATTGAGATCATAGACTTCCACTTGCCCAAACGGTTCAAAGTGATGCTTTCACTTCAGCAGTTAACCTGAACGCCAATCTTCCATTTTACAGCAAAGGGAATAAAATCAAACTTGAGAGATAATGTAAATCGATGACGATCTCTCAGAGTGCAATTCTTCACACTGTGGAGTGTTGCCGTAGAAGGGGTAACGAAGAGGAACGAGATGAAATTGTTATTCCTGCAAGCCTCATCAAAGTTATCACAGTTGTAAAAATTTTGACATCTCGAAGGACAAAAGCAAAAGTTTACTCCTTGAGCAACATTTCAGTGACGAAGCCTCCTTTCAGCACACAGAAAGAAAAAATACACTCAATCAAAAATAAAATAATAATGAAACTGAAACATATAAACTTTCTGTGAAACGACGATTAAAGTCGAAATGTAGATAAACACTGGATAACAGAAGCACGAAGTATAACAATGTTTATTCAATGACAAACGACTTGTCCATGACCAGATTTCATTGAGCTTTGCATCGCCCTCTTACTCCAAGTTGTCTAGGGAACCATTCAAGCAGACCACAACCCCATGGCAGTTGAGCAACGGTAATGCAAGATGCATTTCGTCCCATTTTGTATGCTAAAGGCACCTCGCTTTCACTACGATTTCGTTTTGAGGATCTGCTACTCCTTGTATGATAGCATATAAACACATGCTGTTTGTACTACCGAATATGAGTAATAACGAATGGCTGATCGAAAGCCAGATATCATGGCATATTGCACTGCTCCATATCTCTAACTGCCTAGGACTACGATTTAAGCAGGCAACGGTTCCACTGCATTAAATGTGATCAAACATATTCATGATGATTGCATACCTTTTCATCTTCACATTGAGGGCGACATCGCCTGCCGCGCAAGTATTTTACTTTACTCGAATAAAGTGTGCCTTCTGACGAGATCTTTCCATCTTGTTGGGGGGGGGGCAGTTAACGGCGACTGTCTGCCATTATGCTATCATTGAGCTCGCTTCGTAAGGCGGAAATAATGCATTCGTTGGCATGGGTCCTATCATCTTAAAAGCTTTAGGATTGCACTGTAATCTCCATTTTAATCTTTAACTTTTATTTCTCTAATTTTTCTGCTCAAATAGCATTTGGCACCGGATCGTACGACTTACTCATAATATTGATCGTGATATCTCAACATTATCTTTTCAACTTTGCCACGTGCTGTTGTTTTCAGAGAATAGGGCAAGATGTGCAAAATGAAAGACTCGCCCTGCATATCCTCAGACTTGCAATATTGCCTACGTCTATGTTCTGCCAGAGAATGGATGTTTTGCTGCCAACGTACGGCGCCTCTTAACTCCGATTGTCACTCACCCATCTGCAGGCGATGTACTCCCAAGTTACCTGCCAGCTGTGCCACCCGATACACAAATTCTGTGTCAAGGGCCGAAGAGACACCGACTTTGATTGCACCAATTTTAGATTCACTTCATCGTGCCTAAATTAATTAACAGACCCTGAGATAATTGAGCAGTTGCTTTTGATTCAGTAGAGAAGCCACCTGTGTTTTAACATGGTTCGTAAGCACTGTATTGAAACTAAATTATTTCCTATTACAGTTTCTAATTCCCTTCCGCAGATTGTGGCACTTCGTTCCAACTAGCGGAGAAACGGGCACAATTTTGAGGACCTCTGGATAAAAGGGATAAGATGTTTTTGTGATTAGATCATGCCAGAACGTGCGACATTTGCTACCGTTCCCTCTGGCGTGTGCTCATGAGGGTGGAACTCACCCACTTGATTGCTTCCAGAAGCATTAACACAAGACGTGAATGGTTTACGAGAAAATATCTCTGAAAGAGTAAGACATGGAATGGAGTTTGGGCCGTGAGGCAATTAAAATTGATTACGGCCTCTGTAGAATCGGTTGAGCGGAACCAGATTCATTTCCAAGAATGAAATGATTATGGGCATAACATTAACGTAAAATATGGCATAAAATATGTAACCAATACGTTGAATTTTCAGTGACCTAAAGGCACATTACTTCATTGACTTACCGGCGTTCTTTGAAGAATCACGCGAATGCCATTGACAATCATCCGTCGTAGCAATGTTACCCATTTCTATGTTTCGATGCATGACCGTTTTGCAAATCATCAACCTTAGTCAAAGAGGCGTCAGCTGGCACCCCCTGAAACGAGTTTAAATGTCTCGCTACAGTGATTGACACTTCTTCTGTTGCTCCAATTATTGGAAGACACTATTAATCACCGGCAAGCAATGACGAGCAATATTTGATTAGTGTGACGTTCGCAGGAAGCCTTCTGCTTTGCTCTCGCTCTTCCTCGACGATTTCCGTCCCTTTCGATTTGCAGTATGCAGAAAGCTCTACTGGTGCTGATTTTTCAAGGAGTCCTTGTTCAAAGTTTAAGCTTGTTTGGTGGAGGCGTACAGAGGATCAGGGCTTATGGTCGTTTAAAATGCGGAGAGGCAGCAGCAGCTGGCGTAAAGGTTATGCTAATTGATATTGGTATGATATATTTTTCTAAAAAATATGATAAGCAGGCTTAGTAATAATAATTCGATCAGATTAATGCACTGTTTGGTTCCAGACGCCGAAAAATAAACTTTGACGGGCACATATATGTTGAATTGAAGTTTAATATTTCGCAATCCATCCACAGCATTCCATTATGCCGCCTCAGTAGGCTACAGTAAACAGGAGTGCCAGAAAATGACACACAGTCATGGAAGTGTTACCGAAGTCCGCACCTTAATGGTTACAAATTTTAGCTTTTTCATTTCTTTGGCACGTAGCTGACTGGAGTACATGCCTTGTCAGACAGCATATGCAAAAGTTCAGTAATATCCAGGAGAGTCTTATCATGGCACCATGATTATTTCATATTCGTTTTCATATTACTGCGAAAGCCTTGAACTCCTGTCATCCCTGCAACTGGTTCACTTGGATGAATGACGTCTGAATTGGTCGAGACAGTAACTATTCTTCACCCAATCGATGCGCAAAATTTTGGCCTTGCAACAGATTAAATTATTAAAACTTTTGTTTACGTATCATGGTGATTTTTAGCTAGCTATTAGATGATTCAATCTGAAGTGCATCCGAAAAGCCGGGTGCGTCACACTGCATGACGGTACGTCTCTGCCATGGACACAAAGAAGCACTATGCCGGCCCCATCGTTCGCACATCAGCGATCTGCTACCCGTTTTTCGACTAATTTCACCAAAACATATTAGAGTGGATTTGTTGCAGGAGGAAACTGACACTTTATATGAGAAATCCGTCCTGCGCGTTGATTTTGAACCCGGTACTCTGAAATGTAAGGCAACCTGCTTAGCGCCACTGCATGAAAGAGAGATATAAATACACTTTAAAAATGGTCAGGAAATCAGAGGAAACTGGAGTAAGCGACACCCTCGTTACTTCGAGGAAGACGGTTCTAAAGAAAAAAATTCTTTCGGATGGATAGAACGGATTCATCGCCTATATTTTTTCTAAAATGAGTCAATGACTAATAATATCGAAAACGGGCCGTAATGAACTCACGGTATGTTCATGTACTAATTAATTTTATTCATTCATTAATTGATTCACTCCATTTATTAGTTTATGTATTTGCCAGTCCATTTTTTAATTCGTTCATGTATTGGTTTGTTCACTTGCTCATTCTCTCGTTCATTTCTTCATCTACTCATTCAAACGTTCTTGCATTCACCCGTTCGTTTATTTAGAACAGTTAATGATGCTTGCCTAATAATCAACCATACTTTAATGCTATATATATGGACGGTAACATTTTTCCGCTTCTGTATACATATAGTTATTTCTTCGTGGAACCAGATTTCGAAAAACTTATAATCTATGACAGGAAAATTATGCGCAGCAATCAAATGAGTTGCATAGCGTTGGCTGCGCAGATGAAAGATCGTCAGTAGAAATTCGCATGACAGTCCCTAGCGTTTCAACTTTTGAGGTAGTTAACTCAGTACCACTGCATGGCATGGAAATCAGGGATCGCATGCTGCAGCTCTTGCTCTATTGCACACTTACTCTTATGCTATTGAAAGTACGGCGTTCGTGGCTGAATGGATCGAAATGAGCAGTAGACAAGCATCTGTTCCTTTATGAAAGTGTATTTCGCCTTCGATGCATCTGAGTGCAGCTAGCACATGTCGCGACTTACTTGGTGTTGATAAGTTCAGGAGAGTTAGCGCCTTGTCTAGTATTTAAATTTTCAGACACCGGCGGATTCGATGACGTGATGACCGAGAATAAAACAAATTCCAACGGAGAATTTTGGCTCGACGGACAGACGTCGGAAATGACCAGCATTGATCCAGTGGTAAAAATATATCACAACTGCGACGACGAGAAAACGCTTGGAACACGCCGATTGAAAATCGGTATCCCAAAGAAGTACATCGGCAAATCTTCATCGATTCCAAAGCTCGCCGACTTGGGAGTAATCAACCTCGAAATGATAGTTTACGAGGAAGAGAGAAATATTTTTTAACATATTGCCATTGTTTCAGCCGTTCAGCAAATGTTTCTGTTCTAACAGCTTTTCTCAGTAGTGACAGTGACACATTTCTCTTAGGTTTACCGGAAATAAACAGAAGTTTGCTTTGAAAATTGAAACTATGTGTCAACGTTAGACTTCTTGCGTGGCTGCAAATCTTTCTGTTGTAACAACGAAAATTCAGTTTTATAATCAGATTACAATGATCTTTAATGTAACGGTTTCGATTGTGAACAGTTTTATGGATAAATGGCCAATAACCACCAGTTTACATTAAACAATCATAGCGGACTGAAACGGCGAGGGTACAGTGTAAAGAAAGAAAAATCAATTTCTCACTTTACACCACAAGTTCTATTGCACCGTCCCCTTGCTTCTAGACGGCTAAGGGGACCATTTCTGCAGGTCACGGTTGCATGGTATTTAAGCGCCTGCAGTGCATGGGACGCAGGACGGCGTCTGAAACATAGGTTGAACGAGTGTCTGCTCAGCGAAAGAACACTGCCACGATCCGTAAGCGAAAGAGTGATCAAATGGAACCCGATGTTGCGGGGGAACTTTCGATATCGCCGCTAAATATATCACATAAAAGTAATAATTCCAGATCGAAACGGCGAAAGCAAAGAAAGAAAGGTTGATTTCTCACAATAGTAAACAATAGTTTACTACCAACGTTTTTCATCGTGCAAATTATGAAACTAACGGCGAAACAAAACCCAGCAAATTATGAAATTATGGTTCAATTTAGTGGACTGATTCGCTGACGCAAAACAGAAATTCCAGTGCTTTGCAACACCTTGTCCTTAACTCTGTCGTAAAGTAAACTACAGGCTGTTTCAGCCAATGGATGCAAACATTCAAGCCATTAAGATGTGCGCTTCCGACTTAACCAATCATTATAACTGGATCGAAAGAGCAGAAGAATGGCGGCGCCATGGAAATGACCTTCACGACTACAGAGAAAAAAACTGTTCATTCACTAGTTCGTCATATTGCATCGCACTTCGCTTGTAAAAGCCAAAAATGGTTGCACTGAAAACTGTCATTGTACTGTCCCCTTGCTATGCTATCTAGGCATATATTCTTATTTATAAATGTACACAAATGATGATCGAAGGTGTCAATCAAAGTAAAGACTGAAAATTATTTCTGATAGTCGAATCATGGACTAATATTTTATTCCTTTGTGTCAATCGCGGCATTAAACGTACCTGTCAGACTGTAATGATGAACAACATAGGTGATCGTGTGCCCGAATATGTGGCAAAAAACGAATGATTCCTCCAAGAGCGAATTTCGCCTTAAATTGCGCTGCCGCTTCGTCCAAGCTGCCTAAGGGGGAGGCATTGCAGGCCTAATGGCCCTCCTAAAACTCTAAGAGCAATTGGGCGATGCGATATGCTGTGGAACCTGGTCTTGAATGAATCATTCGGTAATTGACACACTCCTTATCAGATTAAGTAGTTTATGGTTGTAGCCAAAGTAAAATTCAGAAATATAATGTCCGTTGCTCCAAGGGTGGTAAATGTCCTTAAAAAAGACTCAGTACTCACATTCACCCTTAAAACCTAGAAAACGAGTAGCAAAATGACGTACATACTGGCCTCACGAGTGCAGTGACTGTACGAAGGGCATTCAGTACCTAACTTTTGATTATGAAAATATGCTCATGACATACTTCACTTATTCACTGTGGTGATTGAGTCGAGCATTCCACTTTTGTTCTCGAGTGGCTGTTCGTTCCAAATAATTCTGTCTGTATAATTTCTCATTACGTGTTTAGGATGGCAAAGAAACCGCTGATGGAATCATAGAACTGGCAGATATAAATTGAATAGCTTTTTCACACATGAGTAAGGCACCTTAATATGCAACCGGAATGGTAGGTTTCAATCAAGAATCGAAGCGTTTTCCTACCGTGCTTGAATCCGTAGTAGTCGATTGAACATCTGGCTACAGCTAAGTCAGCACTGTCATGAATAACCATTTTCAGCAAGCCAATAACGTTCTTTATACTCAAGCTTTTTCAAAGAACGGATTTTAATTCGCACTTGCAGATGACACCATTTGCCTTACCGGCAACCCATCTGCTTTCCAAAGCCTTGGGAAGACAGGGCTAAGTGTGTGATATTCCTAAGCTACGGTAACAGAGAGATTCATGAATGCCAAAATAGCCCTTTCACGGGGAAGGAAAATGAAATACTGTGAAATCCATAACGCTTTGAAAAATACCTTTAGAAGAACATGAAAACTGTTTATTGAAGTGCAAGCGAACTACTCATTTTAGTGATTGTAGAGCCACTGTTTTGCATTACGTTCAAGCAGAAGGTTTTGATTTTAATGCCTTATGCAGGAATCTCTACCAAAGCACGAAGGAAATACTGCAAAGGGTATTTTATCACATAAAAGGCAATTTAAGACCTCTCCATGAGGGATTGTGAGCCGTCTACAACATTACACCACGATCAAGGAATATCGAAATCTCTTTATCATTTAAAATACCTTCCATATGAGTATCAACTGCTGACGTTTAGCATTAAGTGTCGAAGGAATCTATTATCCATTCGGGATGGCATTCAAATGCAACACACCAATCGACATCCATGTTTAATATATCCTGCCGTGACTTTAATGATCCAAATAAATTGCATTGATTTAAATTAATTCGATTGAAGCGTCAGGGGCTGAGCAAGTAAACTGGACGATGTCTTGGTCATTTGGAGAAATGCCTAAAATCGATGTTAAGCAGAGTTCGCTGCTGCCGATGCAAGTTCATCTCGAAAAGTGTTTTAGTGTTTTTCGTTGTCCTACAAGGAAACAGCCGGAACGGAAATCGATTTACGGACAACAGTGACAGAGTTGAAGGAAGGTAAAGCAAATAGATGAATATGCGTTTATTTATCAATATACTGATTGTATTATTTTGTAGCGTTATGTCATACCTAAGTAACACATAAAAAATTCTCATGTGGCAAAATTCAGTAACTGGTATTCTGCCGGGAAATCAACGCCAAATACATTATTGACATGCTCTTCAACATAAAAATGTTTACACTATATGAGAAATTCATTTTTAAAAAATGCACATTTTAACGGAGATACAAAAATTCGATTTCGAACAGTATCAAGGATGTTTTCATTTTTTATGTATATCACTCACCATTTCACATATAAAAATAAAAAATAACGCAAAGGAATAGATAATACTAAGCCTCCAAGTCGGAGAGAAAACATAACTCCAGGCAGGGTCAAAAATAGCCAATCATCGTAGTGCTGTTTACTGAAATTCCTCAACCAGTCATTTTCGACGACCGGTCATTCTTTCGTGCAGAGAGTGTCCCCAATGATGTCTTCACTGATCCGATGTCAGCATTTCAGCTTCGGCAGAAGATAACCGAGATACGGTCGACACACTTGCCCCAGACCACTCTTTGCTATCTTTGGCCTCTTCAGCTTGTACATTCAGCAAGTAGCAGCTGCTTGGCCTTCCTTTTTGCAGGAATTCTCAAAACATGTCCAAACCGTCCAGTTGTGACCTCTCAATCTGTAGAATCAACAGCTTAACCTCAAAGTTTTCTCTCAGGCATCTGAACGCCGAACCATGTCGAGCCGCGTTGGCACAGCGATTTGCCTCAGAACACCCATTTTAGCCGCTTGCACCAGAGATCGAAGTTGTTCAGTCATTACCCTGCACTACTCATGATCATACGTCAGCGTGGTGACAACAATCTTCTTGAATAAAGAGGGCTTATTCTTCAGAATCAGATTTATTTTAGTCAAAACGGCTAAGACGAATTTACGCAAACCAATAACCACTTCTGGCTATACCAATGAGCCAGTTGATCTCTTCCTCCCGTTTTCGGTTATCATTAAACATGCCTCCGAGGGGTACGAACTTTTCCACCAGTTTTATTGCTTCTCTACTGATGTCCAGAGCACGACAGGAGAACTGGAACGCAGAAGCTTTCACGCGCCTGCCGAAAACGTGACACTCGGCTGTGACACTTTCCAGAGGGAAGAATAAATCAGCTTCAGAAAATGCAAACAAAACAAGGCCGCCCGCAAACAGCATTCTTCTCGTCGCAACGCCTCCTACTTGATACATTCATCGCCTAGACTGTGCTGGCTATCGTATACCTGTACAGGAACAAAGGAGATGGGTCTAAAAACAGCTTTCGCTGAAACTGGTGCCAACGGTTGAAAGTCTCAACTTCACCGCATATACTCTGACGCAGCACCTGCTATAAACGTATAGTGGCTAGATACGTCTAGCAGATGATCAGAACTACATTTTCACAGCTATGCTCGTCATATGTTGCGCCAGATCCAGTTATAAGCACTCTTTAGGTCAACAAAGCGCAATCAAACCGAATGAGGGAAGTTTCTCAATAATCCGGCGTAAATCGATGATCTTGCCTGAGATGCTTTAACCTCATCTGAAGTCACAATGTTTACCGTTCATCTTAGAGTTAACTGCTTAGTGGCGTCATACTTTCAGCTCTTTTTGCAATAAGACTTTTCCTTGGAGTCAATAAAATGATTTCCCGATAACTGTAGCCTTCCTACAGTCTCTCTTCCTAATCAGTGATATTGCGGTATTGTGCAACTCCAGCTTTTCAGCCCGTTGATATCTTCTCATTAGCAGTTGCTATTTAACGGAGACGTGTTAGCAGCGTGTCTTGTTCTTCTTAAGCTTTCAGAACTTACTTCATTCACTCCAACAGTCTTGCCGCGTTCCAAGCTGTTCACAGCATCTGTGACTTTATCTATTGCAAGACTTATATCCGCTGCCCGCTGCTCTTCAGACGAGTGTTATTGCGGTTTCTCAGCGTTAAGAAGCTCTTCAAAGTATTCCAAACAATGCTGCAATATATCACCATTCTTGGTAAGAGGGCGTTCGGACTTAGAAATCTTACACTGCCCTTCTTTTAATCTAAGAGGCAACGGATTGTCTACCAGAATACCTTGTTGACGTCTCGAAATTCAGAAATTCA